CCCCGGGGACACGTGCAGCCCGTGCTGGCCCCGGCGGGTCCCCCTGGGCAGCCTGGCCGGCTCCGGTCGGGGAGTATGTCCTCCAGGCCCTTCCTCCGGGGGAACTCAGTGGTGGCTGCACGAAGTCCCAACTCCTATCTGGACCTGTGGGGCAGATGCTCGCATGTGTCACTGTGTGGGCCTGGCTTCGTGTGCAGAGGACCTGCCCGAGGCACACAGAGCCCGCTGTTTCTTCAGTTCAGGCCGCCTCACCCAGAGAAACCGCCAGGTCTTAGAGGTCAGAGTGTCGGGCACCCCCAGGGGCATCCTTTGGGGTGGCATCTTTCAAATTTTGTAAAACAAAATCGGTATGGCTGTTTTTCAAATAAAATCTTTGGCCAAAGTCCAAAATCAAAGAACAGTGGGTGGGCTGGGTGCTAAGTGCGGACAAGGCCGGGGGCCTCTTTTCGGGGTCCCCCCAGCCCCAGGACATCTGGGCTCTGCAAGGCGCGGGCTAAGCCGGGCGACAGAACCTTCTGGGCAGCTGCACTGTGGGGCTGGGGCAGGACCTCGGTCCCCGCTCCCTGCTCCTGACGGCCTGCAGCAGAAGCCCCCTTCCTGCCACTCTGGGACGCCTCGGCGTCACCCGTCGACGCTCCTGCTAAGGCGACAATGGGCTCTGCCCTGCTCTGTCCGGCTCGGCCACCCACCTTCCCAGCCCACCCAGCAGGAACACTGGGCTGGGCCCTGCTTTGACCATGGACACCAAGAAGCAGACACCACCCGTGCCTGAGACTTCCCACGACCCAAGCCCCTCTGAACATCCCCGAGTGGGGGCCCCAAGCATAGCGGTGCCCACCTTCACTCTCAAAAACAGGGCGGTGATGATAACGCCATAGATGAAGAGGATCCCATCCAGCAGGTAGCAGAGTTTGGGGTCCAGCAGGCCAAAGCTCTGTGCATCTGCGCGAGAGAAGAGACTGGTCAGCCAGGCCTGAGTGAAACATGGCCCCACCACCCCAGGGTGGCCCACAGCTGGTCAAGGGACTCTTGACAGGGGCTGGACCCACTCCCCACACCTCATCTGACGCCAGCCTCCCTCCCAGCCCCTGGACCAGCTCCCAGGGAAACCAGGCGGGTCCCCATAGTGGGCGTGACAGCTGTTGAGCCACCAGCCTGGAGACGAGAGGGGGGCAGAAAGCAGGGGAAGGTGAAGCCGGCCGCACACAGGACCACTGCCCGAGGGCAGTGGGGCCCAGCTGGGTGTGTGCCCCACTTCCACCGTGACTGCCCGGAAGGTGGGTGAATGCCTGAGCTAGGATGAGGGGCCCCTGGGCCAGGCCCCCAGGAGAGAACGGGACTGATGGGTCGTGAGATTATGTCAATCTCGAACTTAATTAGCGCCCCCAAGGATTTGGGTGACTCTCCCCAGTTCCTGACTCCGCTTCCTGGGTGCCAGACAGGGCCTCCCTCCCAGGGCGCTGGGGTCTGGTGCCACCTGCCTGGCCCGGGCCTGAGGGGTCTCGCGAACAACAGACAGGGACCGTCGATGACCCCCTTATCACTCCCAGGACACGGCGCGCCCCAGACTCCGCCTGTGTGCCTTTGTGCGCACTGCTCCCACCGCGTGATCTGTCCCTCGCTCTCCCTGCAGGACCCATCCACCAAACCGATGCAGCCTACACCGCGCGGCTCAGGCCCCCCCAACACACGGCCAAAGGGCCCCCGCCCTACAGCCGAGTGCGGGGAGCCCGCCTGTCCCTGAAGTCGTTCACAGCCATGGGGTCACAGCAGTCCCCCTCACCAGCCCCCCTGGGGTGTCACAGTGTCAGCCAGCAGGTGGGCCGGCAGTTACAGCCGCAGGAGACCACCTCCCCTCCCAGACAGCGAGGGTAAGCCCGCAAAGAGACCCGCAGCCTCTGAAAATCTTCCCGGCAGAGCCCGGCAGGGCGACGTGCTGGCCTCCCACGGGCTGGATGCACCACGCTGAGCCGACAGGCCGTGGTGTGCCAGGCCGCGGGACACCACTGTGTCCTGAGCTGTGGGGTCTCCTCCCTGCTCTTGGAGAAGTCCCCGAACCACCCTGCCTGTGTCGCCTGGAGGGAAAGCTTCACGCTCCCGGGGCACAGAAAGCGCCTCGGTGACCGGGGTGTCGTCCCTGGACCCCGGCCCCCTCTATCTCTCGCTGCCAGCCCAGGGTGTAACTTCCGGGTCTGAAATCCCCCAGTGTCACCTGATTTTCACTTTAAGCCTAACAAGCCGGGGCCTTCCTGCTGCCTCGCAGGAAACCCAGAGATGATCACAGTGTCTGTCCACACGGGCCGTCATGTCTAAACACGTCACGTCCTGTTAGTGAGCGTGAGCCGAGCCCTGTCCACAGCAAGCCCTATGGTCATCTTCACAAAAGCCCTGACCAAGTTCAGAAACTGGCACACCACTGCCATTCCAGAAGATTCCGCGGCCCTGAGGGCAGCCCGGGGAGGCGCGGCCTGTGCAGCCTGGTTTCTCGGGTGAGGTGCCCTTGAATCGAGGTGTCTGTCCTCCCAGCCAGAATGAGCTTCGAGGACAGGGGAGCAGGCCCGCCTGGTCCCGCCGGAGCCGGCAGCCCAGACACACAGTGCCCATCCTGCCTCGAGTGGGTCCCCCAGCAGAGACAGGGCATTCGCCAGGCTCTCTCATATCCAGCCGGGGCGGGGGGGGCACCTCTCGATTGAACCCCAGCTAGGGCTTTTGTACACGTCCTCTGCCTGATCAAGTTTGAGTCCCGGGAGAGCCCAGGTTGGCAGAGGCTGCTATTGGGCCTGGTCGCAGGTGGTAAAGGGGACCAGAGGAATGAGGTGACCCCCCCTTCCCCAGGACACTCTGCAGCCAGCGGCGGAGCCGCCGGGGTGTGTACCCCTAGTCCAGGCCACCTCTTAGGTCTCTGCCTCAGGGCCCCTTCCCACTGGGTAAAGCTCTGAGCTTCCCCCTCGCTCTGAATTCACAGTCAGCTTTTGACACTTAGTCACAGCAGCCTGTAAACGCATGTCCCCTCCCCAGCAAGCCTGGAAGGCATGGAGGAGGCATTTGCTTTCACTTGCTTATTTCCCATTCCACCTACAGCAGAGGAGAGGAGGGGACCCGCCTGAGACCAGAAGACTAGATTCACATTCGCGTCTGCCTCTCGCTGGCACTGTGCTTTGGGGCGCCTCCCTAAACCTCTCTGTCCCCTCCGCAGAAGAGATTTCACAAGGCCGACTTCACAGGATATTCACGCAGGTGACACGAGAGAACTGCGTGAGGAAGTGCCCTGCCCAGTGGCACGTGTGGAGTCCACAGGTCTCAGGTGGCCTTCTGTGCCACCGCAGAGGTCTGTGAGTACAAGCGGCAGTAGGCAGGGACCACCTCTCACCCACCCCCCACGCCAAGGTTGGGGATCGGACCCAGCCAGCTCCCCAGCTCCAGAGGGAGATGCCACCTTTCAGGGTGCGCGAGGATGAAACTGGACAGTGGCTGCCACACAGTAGGAGCTCGACGGCGTGTGGACATTCGGAGAGGCCCTGGCTGCACAAAACGGCAAGGACGTCACCTAGATTGCAGCTCAGCGCTCAGTCGAGAAACCTGTCTGCTGCACACGTTCTGATTTAACCCTCAGCATCACTCTCCGGGCTGGCGGGGCGCGGCCCGTTCTGCTTCGCAGACGAAACCGAAGCCTGAGAGGTCGCTCAGCTAGAAAGTGCCCGGCAGCATTTGCCACCAAGTCCCTTGTCCCCCACTTTATCCCAGTGCCTCTGAGGTGGTTCCCACCCAGAGACCATCCAGAAATTCCTTTTGTAGGAATTTCTTCTCTGGCACCTCCAGCCTCTGTTTGAATATTTCAGGTGACAGGGCGCTCAGCACCCATCAATCACTGGTGGAAGGCTCTAATTTTCAGTGTTTTAAAACAAACCAACTTGGGTCCCAGTTCTGCCTTCAGATGCGCAGAGAACACAGATTCTGCCATTTCCACAAGGCACCCTTAAAATCCTCACTGGTGTGCTGCATGTCTCCCCCTTAGTCAGAAGCACTTCAGCGTCACGGCGAGAACAAAGCCTTCGGGGGCAGAGGACATGAGTTCCAGTCCTGGCTTGGCTGCTTAACTGCTTGTGACCATGGAACGACCTCATCACTGCCTCCAGGTGTGACACTTACATGAGAGGGGCTTGCCACCTGGGAGCGCTGAGCACATAGGCACTCATGGGATCAATATTAACCATACAGCCCACGGTTCAGGTAGGATCAGCCAACGGCCAGGCCCCCGAGCTCCCCCTGCACCCCCATCCTCGAGGCCAGGGTCCTGCTGCTGCCCGGCCCCACCCCCAGGCTCAGACACCGCTGGCGATGACATTGCAGGCTAAGAATTTAGAAAACAGGAAGTCATGTGTGCTCAGGAAGGCAGTGGCAGCAGCTATGGGTGCCTGTGCTGGGTGTGCTGCCCACCCTCTGACCACCCACTCAGGCACCCAGACCTCCCCCTCGGGGGAGGGGGTGTTGCCCCCTTTCACTGAGCAACTAACACGGGCCGGACACACAGGACCGTAACGATAACCTCCAGCTGAAGATTTATGTTGTGCCAGGAAGCACCTGTGAGTTTTTCTATTCAGTCCTCACAGCATCTGTGATCTTAGGACTGGGGACACTGAGACTCTGACAGGTGTGTGACAGGCCTAAGGTCCAGAGCCAGGGCTGACCCAGGCTCCTCAGTCCAGACCCCATCAGGTCCAGAGTCCCGCCCTGGACAGCTCGCTACCCCTCAGGGCAGGGCAGAGGGGTCCTCTCCAGGCTGCAGAGTCCTCTCCCATCTGGGGACAGAACCGTATTAGCAGACGAATTCCTGACTCGCAACTGGCTTTCTTTCCTTGAGGGGGCAGGGGTCGAGAGGCCTGCAGGCCAACAGGGACAGATGGCCTGCTACGAAATGCGACATGCCAGCCCAGGACCCACACTGGCCAGCCTCCCCGGAGACGTCTGTCCCCACGTCACAGCGACCTGCAGAGTATGCCTACAGAAGTTTCTGCTCCTCAGGGGAGGTTTCCCTCCTCAGTGATGGACCTCAGATACTCGCATTTCATTGTAAAGCTGCTCAGCTGGCCACAGAGACCAGAAACTATTCCTATAGACAAGGTTCTCAGGACAGAAAGGGAGCAGTTTGGTTTCCTAGGGGCACCAGAATTCTGGGCAAATGTTTCTCTTCTTGTGCTTTTTTATATTTCTTAAACTTGTTATGGTTTCTGCAATGATTTTAAATTATTTTTGCGGTCACTTTTGTTCTTTTCAAGTAAATCAACTCATTATAAAAGTGCAAGAAAGTAGAAAAAAATCAAAATCACCTAAAATACCGCATTCAAGCGCAGCCACTGGCAACATGATGGCGGGTGGCCTTCCAAGGTGTTTGCTGCTCATAAACTGTAATCATTCTACATAAAAGTTTTCTCTGAGAAACATTTGTTTCAGTGAGTGTGAGGATCTCCCATCGCATTCTCGCGTTATTTCGCGTATTCCTGTTTCTCGTCACAGTTTTACTGACGGTCCTGAATGCCGGCGTGATAACACTTGCCCTGTCCCTTCGACCACCCCCCACTGACGGTTGTTTGTGTCCAGTTTTTCACCGTGGTCGATAATTTTGTGATAAACATCTTGATTCCGAAAGCTTTTTACAGGTTTAGAATCCGGTCGGTAATACTTTGAAAAATGAAAGGTAAGACGAGTCCAAGAGAAAAACCAGCAAAAGATTAAAAAAAAAAAACAAATTGCTCCCAAACGTATAGAAAGACACTGGGTCCCAGAGGCCGCCGGGATGGGGAAGCACGGAGCACGGGAGGGGGCTGCGTTTCCCACGGTGGCGGAGGGTGTGTCGCCGGCGAAGGGGCAGCAGGTGCAAGGGGCCCGGGGCATCGGGACAGCGAGGCGCCGGGTGGAGCGTGACCAGAGGCGAGGCGAGAGGG